TTGAAGTCAAAATGATCGGAATTGTTGCTGTTGTGCAGAAAAACTGCTATTCAGCCATCCTGCGTCAAACAAGCTGTGCTTTGTAGAACAAAATAAGCAGCCGCAGCCGCTGCAGCGTCATGAAAATCACAGGCGAGCGGACCCATGTGAAATACAATAGTAGTAGCTTTTTCAGTTTCCATGCTTGTGTCTCAATAAAAACTAGCACACTCTTGCTAATCCTCATATATTGTACTGAGCCGAGTCACAAACCTTCTTTGTTTTCATATACCAGTAAGAGCATCTCATAAGTATTCTAAATCTCCTTCCCCAAAACTATTAGGAGAAAAAAAGGCCATCTCTAATAGTACCTAATATTTGATTTCAAAAAACAAAATTTGGTCCCACTTGGGTATTTTTTTTGCGGCTACTTTTTTTTCCGCACAAAAGGCTTCGATGTTCGGCGGCACCGCCATGCGGCGGAGTCCATCGTGGCGCTGCGGGCCAGAGGCATCGACCTGGACCGGACGCGGCGGCACGGAGTCGATGCCGCGGGCGTTCGGCCCACGGCTGCGCAAGTGGGCGCGCGCCGGTGTCATCACGGCCAGCGGCGGCTATGACCTCGCGTGCCTAGTGAAGATGGTGCTCGGGTTTGGGTTCGGGTTTCGGATGCCGCGTCGGCGGCGGAGTTCGAGGTCATCGCCAGGGCGCTCCTCCGCCGTCACAGGGTGTTCCACGTTAGAGAGATGGCGAGGCTCTGCCCCAGCGACGACCTCCACCGTGGGCTGGACAGCGCGCCGCGAAGCTCAACGCGACACGAGGGGAACCGCGCGGCGAAGATCTCCTCTAGACGGCGGCACGAGAAGGCACGAAGAAAGAAACCGCGCCAAAGGACCACAACACGAGGGAAACCGCGCGGGAGGAGAGGATACGCGCGATGACCACGATGCGCGTAACTTTATGCGGGTTGGGGGAGTTTTTCAAGTGCTAAAAGATTATGAAGATGGATTGGGAGTTGTTGGAGGGTTTTTTTCCAATCTTATAAAAAATTGGATTGGGAGGAGATTTAGGATACTCTTGGAGATGCTCTAATCAAACGTCCGTGGGCCACACCGCCCTCACCCTATGGGCCTTGGATAGCCACGTGTCAGCAATCATATGCCCTCTCCTTTGCTTTCTTTTTTTAAAAACTCTTTCCTTTGCTTACTTGTTGGCTGTGAAAAAAATTTGACGACAGATGGGCTTCGGGAGCCTACCACCACGCCGCAGCCTATTTTCTTTTTTTTCCCTCGAGGAAACCACTCCACCACTTGCGTCACAATCCGTCTCGCCACTAGATCTCCTAAGCCATCACTTTGCGCACCTCCTTTGCTCTGGCATGGCCCATGGACCATACCCCGCCCCGCCCGCCCTAAGGCATTGCTCACTCATCTCCTCCGCCGTCGTCCCCTGCCTCCTACTCCTATTCCCGGCGCATGTGCCATGGAGATGCTACGTGCGCCTTGCGCCTCAGCCAGGCGACAATGCCTTTGCAGCAGGTCTCAAGTCGTTGTCCTCCCTATCCTTCCTGTGAGAATACAAAGATTAGGGAGAGTAAAACTATTTGCATATTTTCACTCATCAATACAAGAATATATAGGTTACATGGCTACAGTGCGGATCTAGGATTTTAGTTCAAGGTATGCCATCCAAAAATTTTGATATTTGAATTCGGCAAAACCATTTGGCAATTCGGTAACAATTGAATTTTTTAATATAATTCGGTATATCCGCACTAAATAACAAGTGTTAAATTCGATGATTAAATTAAAAACATCCACAAATTATAATATGATGAATAATTCAAACGTCATACTGGCAGTTTAAAATACAACATAAAATAGAGTAAGAGACTTACAATTAGGTGAAGGATTTAAAACAGCACTAGCCGACACCTTCTTTATGCATGCTTTTGAAAAAGAGATGCAATATCCTCGGCTCCCGCTCTCTTTATAATACTAAAAATACAATGCCAAATAATTAAACAGAATGTTCTCTGACAGATTGAATTTTCACATGCAACTAGACAAACACTGACGTGATATCAATCTGGATTGTCTCGACGTTGGGGCAAATCTCCAATCTCATTGCACCTGCACGAGGGATGATTTGATAATATTAGCAAATAGCAAGGAAATTAAGTAGACCAAAAGGTTCTATGAGACGGCAAAGAGCGAAAGAGACCGAGGAAAAAAGTTAAATCTTACCAAGCAAATCCAAGACAGTAGCGACTACCCAGTCGACGAGGTTTCATACCGGCGTGTGGCGCAGTGGCACGTGCCTGCATCTGTCTCCTGTGCGATCGTGCGCCTGCAGTCGTGCGGTCAGTTCATCCTCGGTGACACGGTGTGGACGATCAGACGAGGAATAGGATTATGGCATCACGGCGGCGGACGATCACGCGGCGCACCGCAGTGACGTGTTGTGGGCGTCTGTAGGACATGATCGAAGGGAACATGGCCGTGGCTGCATGGCCTGGTGGGCCGCGTGGGCCTCTCATCACGTGACCACGGTCATCTATTAGGGGCGCGCAGTTGCGTTGCATGCGAGCCAGCGGTGCTGGTTGCTGGCCGAGGGCGAGCGTTCTCCTGGTAAGTTTTTTTTTTTTTTTCCAAAAAAATACATGTATATACTGTAATAGTTCCTGGGATCGCAGGGTGTGCCAGTGTACCCTGTAGATCTGCCCCTGCATGGCTGATCGTTTCAGCTTCTAAGTGATTCATATTCTAATAGCTTCCCACAATGTTTACTGGGAGAGGATCAAACGTTGAAATTGGAGCGGAAGGTGATGAAGATAACCGTGGGCAACCTCTCTGTGAATATATCGATATACTGAAAGGGCGTAGGAACATAAAAGACCCCGACGACACCAGGGGCCATGCGCCCCCAAACAAAATGAAGACCAATCTCCACATGCTTAGTCCTTTGGTGATGAACGGGATTAATTGACAAATACATGCGGTACTGATGTTGTCACAATAGACAAGAGTTGCACATGTTAAGGGGCGACAAAGGGTGCATCTTTAGCAAGCAGGTTTATTAAAGGGCGGGCAATTTGAGAGAAATCTTTTATAATCCGCCTATAAAAACCAGCATGTCTAATAAAGCTAAGAACACCCTTAACATTTGTGGGAGGTGGAAGCTATTCTATAACCCCTACCTTAGCTTTATCCACCATTAACCCACACTCCGAACACAATATGTCCTAGCACTATTCCTTCCAAACCATGAAATGGATTTTTACCTAGTTCAGGACTAAGTGCTTCTCTTTACACCTTTATAAGATCCTATCTAGGTTCTTAAGACAATCATCAAAAGTCTTACCATATACGGAAAATTGTCCATGAAGACTTCCATGATTTCTTTGATCATATCGAAGAAGATAGACATCATGCACCTTTGGAAAGTAGATGGGGCATTGCATAGATCGAAAGACATTCGTCGATATGCATGTCCCATAGGGCATGTGAAGGTGGTCTTACTTTGGTCGTCGGGGTGGATAGAAATTTGATGATAATCCGAATAACCATCAAGGAAACAGAAGAAAGAGTGCTTTGCAAGCCGTTCTAACATCTCATCAATGAATGGTAACAAGAAGTGATCTTTCTTCGTGACCCGACCGCGTTGGCCTCCTCGACCGCCTGCACCCAAATGGCAACAAATAAACAGAACGTGAACGGAATAGCTTGCAAAGCAAAAGAGTTCAGATGATAACAACCTTTTTAATGACTTATGAGTAATTATCAACTTTTATAATGGCACATAGGTAAGGACTTGTTTGATGTGCTCATATCCACATCAATCCACGTGTGTTGGAGTGGATTGGAGTTAGAAAATAAACACACGTGGAAACAAGCCTAAAACACTATTCCCCCCCCGCCAATCCCTCTCCCTCTCTCTTTTTTAAGAGGACGTTTTATTTCACATATGATAGAGTATTACATTGTTTTCCTTGCAACGACACCCTTGAGAAAAACAAAAAAATACATTCAAGTCCTTGCAAGGATCTCCCGGCCGTCTTCGTCGTCGGCAACCGGATGAGCCACACACATGGGCGGAGCCACGTGAGGGCCATAGGGGGCTGCGGGCCCCCCCTTGTCAAGGGAGTTTTCTAAAGAGCGAAACATGAGCAGCTGCGACGTACGTTATTAAGTGCAATACGCTTGAGTGAATTCTTCATCTAGTGCTATCCCAAAGACTCACCTCTTGAACTCACACTTTGTAGTTTTTAAAAATTAGCTTGCATTGCTATATATATCAAGTCTTTGAACGGCTCTCTTCCTCCTCCTTCCCTCCCCGGTCTCAAACCTGGAAGGAGAAAAGTGACTTTTATTTGTTACTAATGCTTGATACTTGATATGCTGGACTTCATGCTAGCTTGGTGCAATATGCTGGACTGAAATTTACTAAGATATATAGCCTCTTTGACGTGGATTGTGGCTAGTAATATCTTCTATTCTAAACGTATCAAGAATGCTATCGTGGCACTATAGATTTTTTAGCTCCATGACAGTTTGGCTGCTGCGGCCTACAACAATTGCTATACTACGTAAAGACAATATATATTTCGCAAGCATTTCTCTTCTTAAAGCATTGGCAGGCATTGTATTGAATGATGTTGAGCTCATCCACGATGTCATCAAATGAGTTTTACATATGCACAAGCGCTTCATCTCATTTTTCATCTTACTTGCTGGCTTCTCTTGTTCATTAAGCAAGCGCAAGCTAGAAGGTAGCAGCATCTAGTTAGATGTGGCATGAGCTTATGGAATTGGCCCTCTCTTGATTTTAGCTCAGGCTCCGCCACTGGCCACACAACGAACCACCGCTGCATGAAGACGCAGAGGAACTCGCCGAGCTTGCAGCTTGAAACCGACACCCTTCTCGACGAAGACACTTTGTAGTTTTTGAATGGCACAACAAACCGCATATCAAACCTGATACGCACTTCAAACGTTGAACGAACAGGCCTTGCATCGCCGATGTTGATGGAGTCTGACGCCTCAAGCAACGCAGGCATCTCCGACCCATCCGACGAGAAAACAACCCAAAAGGAGATAGAACCGCTGAAGCGGCAGCAGCAACACCAACCCGATTCCTCGGATAAATGGAAGACGTACCTCACAGGAGAGTCCGAGATCGCCTGGAGGGAGGATAGAACGATGGACGCGGAGTAGATGCCATCGGACACCGCTGGAAGCTAAAATGCTACTATAATACTTACTAACCTACACAGTAGCCGCCGTCGAGGGCCAGGCACACCTCTCCTGCGACGTCGGACTGACGCCGGAGGAGCAAGGGCCGGCCAGCTCAACGGCGAATGGAGAATCGCCTCAAAATCGCCCTGTGGCTGGGGAACGAACGAGAGACTTGGAGAGAGTCGTGAGTGCGTGTTATTACAGTCAATTGGCTTCAGCAGTGGGCGCCGACGTTGTCGGGGAGGTGGACCAGCCGATCATCGACTACATCGCCAACGTCCTCGCCGACGAGGACTTCGACTTCGGGGCCCCGGAAGGGCACGGCATCTTCGAGGCGCTCGGGGAGCTCCTCATCGATTCCGGATGCGTCTCCGACCAGGAACACTGCCTCCAGGTACCGCCCCCGCGTACACCCCTACCGCCTTGCCCTTCCTTCCTGGTCCTGGTACCACTACCACCGGCCTGCCTGTTCTGCGATCTGACTAATCCCACTCACGCTAGACTAGGTTGCCATCTCGCTGACCAGGTAATCAGATATGGCCATGGCCTCGATTGCTTCGTGCTGCACATAAGCGCTATGGATTGCTGGGATTCTGTGGTTCCTTGTTTTTATTTAAATTATCAGGAGCCACCTCCTCTGATTAAAGCAACTGTCTGCGTGATTTGAACATGAAACAACTGCACTAGTTTGTTTGATTTGAGTTACTGGTGGGCGTGTCATCCAATGAGTAATTTGAGGATAGCTGTTCGGAATTAGTTGATGTAGTGCTAACATTTTGCAATTCAATGTGACTCAGTTGTCATCAGACCAGCTTGAATTGGAGCCTAGCTTCATTACTTCCTGATGCTTTCTGCAATTTAGATGTTCATTTCTGTGGTGCCACCTGCTGCATATTTTCCCTTGGTCATGCTATAATATCTACAGAGAGCCTTGAGAGCCACTGAGGAAATCTATCCACTTGGGAAATGGATAATACAGAGATTGCTAATTGATACCTAAATGCAGAAGCACTTACGTGTGTCTTGTTTCGGTCCACTATAGGTCTGCAGTATGCTTTGTGAAAAGTTTGGAAAGCATGGTCTGGTGAAACCCAAACAAGTTATGCGCAGCCTTGTTACACCGTTACGAATGAATGCGGGGATGGACGATGACGTCGCACCAAAAAAGCCACAACCAGAAGTATTCGACGGACCGCTGCTGTCTTCGCGCGATAAAGCCAAGATTGAACGGAGGAAAAGAAAAGAGGAGAGGCAAAGAGAGGTAATCTATTTTGCAGACGACTCCTCTTAGATCGCCACATGACGCAATTCTTGGTAGTATACATCTGATGTTCAGCATCTTCCCCATTCTGTTCTTATTTTATTTGCAGACGCAAGTTTTCCTTCCCGACTATGCTCTTCTTTCTTCTATGGACTGTCCTGCTTGCTGGTACAGTTCAATATCAAATGCATGTCGCGGAGATGGAGGCACTAAGGGCTGGAATGCCTCCTGTTTATGTAAACCACAGTAATGATGGTGGGCCAGCTGTTAGGGATATACATATGGAGAACTTCAGTGTCACTGTTGGTGGTCGTGATCTAATTCAAGAAACCACTATAACACTTGCTTTTGGAAAGCACTATGGTGAGTACTTTGTGGTGTTTGGTAGCTTTCAGTAGATAATAAAACTGTGGCCAGGGCCCGGGAAGCATGCATGTGCAGTTTGTCTATACATATCTGTAAAAGTTATCATTGAAATGATACCCTGCAAGTTTCAGAGTTTCTTATTTACCCGTTTCAGGTCTTGTTGGAAGGAATGGGACTGGGAAGACATCTTTTCTCAGAGCGATGGCATTGCATGTGATTGATGGTATTCCCAAGAATTGCCAGATATTGCATGTTGAGCAAGAGGTTGTGGGCGATGATACAACAGCTTTGCAGTGTGTTCTGAACGCCGATGTCGAACGAGTTCAACTTTTGCAGGAAGAAGCTCGTCTGGTTCAACAACAGGTTGACTAGGGGCATAATTGCCTGATGGTTTTCCTCCTTTGAATTTTCTGCATCTGTCATGTGTTCTGCCCATCTGCTAATTGTTGCCACTGTTTTGCAGAAAGATTTAGAGATTGAGGCTGAGTTTGGGCAGAGCTCTGGCAAGAGCAAGGATGGCCTTGACAAAGATTCTATCAGCAAGAGGCTTGAGGAGATATATAAACGGCTTGAGCTCATCGATGCAGATGCAGCAGAGGCTCGTGCGGCATCAATTTTGGCGGTCTGTTTTATTTCCTTGTTTGTACCATTCGCATAATATCATGTCATTGGTTTACTTTTGCTCCACTTTTGATTTCAGTACTTACCTTGATTACACATCAATGTTTCTTTCAAGCATCATTATGCAACTATGCGTCTTGAAATAGATAATCCTCAATAAGGGCGATCACATTTCCTTGATGTTTTGTACTTGGAGTGCATCTGTTCATGTAGGATTTGTGCATGTTGATCTCAGGAACAACATAGGATTTGGTGATTTGCGCATCGTGCTCACATTACATATTTTCATTGCACTGTTCTGAATGGAGGAATTATTTGCAGGGTCTTAGTTTTACTCCAGAAATGCAACGCAAGCGAACAAAACAATTTTCTGGTGGATGGCGCATGAGAATAGCTCTAGCACGCGCTCTGTTCATTGAGCCTGATTTGCTACTACTTGATGAGCCGACAGTAAGTTGATATGGGGTTATTTTTCTTCACTTGCTCGCACATGCTAACGACATATCACATCCAGAACCACCTTGATCTTCATGCTGTGTTATGGCTAGAAACGTATCTCCTGAAGTGGCCAAAGACATTCATTGTTGTATCACACGCAAGGGAGTTTTTGAATACGGTATGAACACCCAATATCATTTCATAGGAGCTAATTTGACAAAATTTGCATAGCATATTTTTCTTGTGTGGGTTTAAAGTTTAAACTGGAACTGATGACCAGAACTTTTTAGGTTGTCACCGATATCCTTCATCTACATGGTAGAAAACTACATGCTTACAAAGGTGACTATGACACATTTGAGAGGACAAGGGAAGAGCACCTTAAGAATCAGCAGAAAGCCTTTGAAACAAATGAGAAGGCCAGACAGCACATGCAGGTTGGTTGTATTTCTATCAAGTATCATGCATTCTGAGAGGGCTTTAATGCCTATTTTCAAGAAAACTATGTAGTTTCTGAAGCAAAAAAGGACCTGGAAGGTGATCTATACAAAAACAAAGTGCTCACACATCTTTTATGGGTTTCTACACTTCCTTTTCAAGAGCACATAAGCAACTCATTCGCTCTCACCTGTCGTTTTAAGTGCACCATATAGCTTTGTACCATAGACAAGAAACGTTCAGACAAGGAGAATGTCAAGAAAACAAGCTGTCCAGCTTGTCTGATACACCATGTTACATAAGTGGAGGTAGTAGTAGTCATTAGACTGCATCTTTCTTTAGCTTGAACGTGGTAATAGGCCAATTAGAGACTGTAGGCAGCTGGAGCTGGGCTAGCCCTGCTTTCATTGTCTAGTGAGACCAAACACTCGGGACAAATCTCTGCATGATATAAGCTCAAAGATGAATGGAAATTTTACTCAAAGATGAATGGAAATTTTAATTACCTGGAAACTGTTGAAGATATTAAGCACTGCTCGTATTTTCTCGAAGACCAGGGATGAACTTTAATTGTTTTCTCTGTGTAGACATTCATTGACAAGTTTCGGTACAATGCAAAGAGAGCATCACTTGTTCAATCGAGAATCAAGGTACACTTTTTCACTCTTGTCTCCATGTAAACAATTTGGTAGTTGTTTCACTTAACAGATACTGTATGGACAAACTCTCAACCGGCATTTTGATCTAGGATGTTGTTCAGTGACAAATTTGATGTCTGACTTGAAATTCTTATCTGTGCTATCACAGGCATTGGAGCGAATGGAACATGTTGATGCAGTTGTCAGTGATCCAGAGTATGTCTGCTCCCTAAACTATTGTACTTCGGTATTTTGTTTACAATCAACTCATTAATTGTTCAAATAATTCCTTGCAGCTATAAATTTGAATTTCCAACCCCAGATGATCGCCCTGGACCACCAATTATTAGCTTCAGGTTTCGTTTCTGATACCTAATGCTATTTATGAAATCTTTTTGGATGTTTGTGATTCTTTCTACCTTTTCTTTAAGGCAAATTTTAGACATCCACGTGTTCTCTGTTGAATAACTCTTTCCATTTTTGCAGTGATGCCTCGTTTGGTTACCCTGGAGGGCCTACCTTGTTTAAAAATTTGAATTTTGGTATTGACCTTGACAGCCGCATAGCAAGTATGATTTCCTTGTTCCACTCATCGTAATCTTACTGCATATTAATGTCTAGTTTTTGAAGTTGTGGTTCTTCCATTTTTCAATCCCTCATTGACTTGTTATTTCAGTGGTTGGTCCTAATGGCATTGGCAAGTCCACTATACTGAAACTAATATCTGGGGATCTGCAGCCAACTTCTGGAACAGTATTCCGGTCTCCCAAGGTGCTTCATTCTTCTGTAGCTACAGCTGTGTTTACCATTATTTAAAATGCTTTTCATTTTCTACCTTAACAAAGTTGTGTTACATGAACTTTGATTTATGTCATTTGAGCTTTATTGTCTGAATTTCATAACAGTATTGTATTTAGATGCCAGTATGTGCATATTCGTTCTTCACTTGTCAGGGTGTGGTTCTGATGCTTGTATCAATCAATGCCATTACTGAATCAGACAAAATAATCTGAACCTTGATCCTTAATGTTGAATGTTTTTCTCTCTCTTTGGTTTACTAGCATAATAGTTCCCATCACAAATGATGAGATCTATTTGCTATCATTGTTGATTGCCATGTTTTCCATGCAGGATCCTCTCTTTTGTTTGTTTCTTTGAAATTTTCTTATGATTGTTTTTACAGGTTCGCATGGCTGTATTCAATCAACATCATGTTGATGGCCTTGATTTGACGGCGAATCCCCTTTTGTACATGATGAAGTGCTACCCGGTAAGTTGAAGCATCCCTTTTGGTGTTTGTTGGATATGAGCTCCATCATGTGGTTAGCTAATAAGATGGATATTCCTTCTACATGTGACCTGAATTTGAATGGCATCTTATAAGTGAGAAAATGTATATGGCGCTGTTTGCAGGGTGTGCCTGAGCAGAAGTTGAGGGCACATCTGGGTTCTTTTGGTGTTTCAGGAAGCCTTGCCCTCCAACCTATGTACACTTTATCAGGTAGAAATCGTAGCAATTCCATAGAAGGTTTTAGCTGATGAAACGGGCGCAGAACTATAGCATCCTTGCTAAGGGGTTCATCTCTGTGTAGAACAGAATTGCTGATTTCTCGATATCCTAACCAAAACAATTGCAATTCCAGGTGGTCAGAAGAGTAGGGTAGCATTCGCGAAAATAACCTTCAAGAAGCCACACATCATTCTCCTCGACGAGCCTTCTAACCATCTTGTGAGCAAAATCATCACGCTGCGTACCAATTGTTGTTTTTGACATGGAGGATGAGGAACCTCTGGGTCTGGGAGGCAGCTATTACCAAACGGAACTGAACATAACCTTGCTCTGTGTTGCAGGATCTGGACGCGGTTGAGGCACTCATCCAAGGTTTACTCATCTTCCAGGGAGGAGTGCTGATGGTATGACTAGACAACACTGTATAAATTTGCGTTTACTTGCAAGATGTTCCTTTGGGTTGATGACTAAGGGTCTGTTCGTTTGGAGGAATTTGGATGTTTTGGAGGAATGCTGGAGGAATTTGTTGGAGGAAAACACTATTCCAGATGAAAAAAGTGTCGATCGGCAGGGTGACCCCGCACGCGAACGGGCACCTAATGCAGCTACAAGAAGTTGGTTTTGCAGGTGAGTCACGACGAGCATCTCATCACTGGAAGCGTGGACGAGCTTTGGGTGGTGTCGGAAGGCAGGGTGACCCCGTTCTCGGGCACTTTCAAGGACTACAAGAAGATGCAAAAGTAAAAAAAAAAAAAAAAAACATGTGTCTGTCCTTGTACCGTGACGAAGTCATGCAGTAGCATGTGTTTTATCGGCCATAGCCTATATTGAGAGGTGACATCACATGACGGTATGCTTGCTACGTAATAGTACCGTATGCGTATCAATTTTGGAGTTTTTGTGAACATAATAAATGCAGAGAGTTTTGGTGCACTGTTTGGGTATGCATGAACCTCGTGATTTCTTGAGAAAGTTGTGGTGACTTCCCCCGTGGGGTGGTTGACTGATTGGGTTGTGTCACGGAAAAAGAAGGGAACTATTTTTCTTTGTTGGCAAAGAAAAGGGATATACATCTATATCTATATTATTACACACCTAATATTGGAAGCAAAAAAATGTTTTCCTCATTTTTTTTTCTCTCCAATAGCTCATCCCACTGCACCTCACTCTCTAATGTTTTGCTGTTTGTATCTCACTCTTGACGTCTATATGCTTTTCCAATCCAAACTCAACACAAGATCATGTTTCTTATTAGGGATGCGAGACGGGTTGTCCGCGAACCCGCAAATAGGCTATTTTTTTGTGGGTTTATGTGTAACCTACAAACATTTAGCTTATTTGCGGGTAAACCCGCCTTGCATCCCTATTTCTGATTCAAAGCGAGGATTTAGCTTATTTGGGGTAAACCTGCCTTGCAACACTATTTCGATTCAAAGCGAGCGAAATCGAATTCCAAACGAGAGACCACATTTCGAATAGTGCGTGTGTTAGCCATGGTGAGCAGAACAATTGAAATCCAAACAAGAGGCTATGTTTCAAATAGTGTGTCTAGCCATGATGACCATGCACCAATTCATTTGCAACATGACCGACCATGTTTGCTAGTTTATACATATATATAAATAAATTAAAAAAAAAACAGAAAGCAGCTACTCGTACTACATTGTTAGGCCGGGCCGTCGGGTGGGCTTCTGTATCTTTTGATGGGCTGGCCGGCGCGCGTGCCACTACTACTCTCTCGCTGTCTTTCTACTCCGCTGGCCGCCCGCCCGGTGCCGGTGGTGGCGGAGTCGAAGCAACTCAGCTCAGCTCAACCGAGTCCTGTCTGTTTGTTTCTTCCTCTTCCTCTTCCTCTTCCTCTTCCTCGCCTGCCTGCCTCTCCGCGTGCGTTTGGTTTGACCCACTCCCCAGCACCGTAACCCTAGCAGCAGATCGATCGCATCGCCTCGCCGGCCATGGAGAGCTGGGCGACCTGGGTGGGGACCAGCGTCACCTCCGCCTTCTTCGCCTCCCTCGAGCGCTGCTCCTGCATCAACCTCTCCACCGACGACGACGACGACGACGACCGCGACCACGAGGAGGCCAAGGACCGCCCCCTCATGCTCGCCGCCGCCCCCCGCCACGACGACGTCGCCAGGCCCGATCCCGACTCCTCCCTCCCCGTCGTCGCCGCCGCCGCCGCCAAGGACCAGGTTCTGGGCGACCAGAAGCAAGAGTACCCGCCCCTGCCGCCCGTATGAATCGAACCGATCCATCCCTTGCTTCTACTAGTTCCTACTGTTGTTATGTGTTAGGAATCTCTCTCTCGCCTTCCTTCGTCGCCAAATTAGTCGTGTGTGTGTGCAGTCAGCAATTTAGTCCGCGTGTTGCGTTCTTGTCAAATACTACTGCTACTACTACTATCCTGTGTCAACCTGTCATTCAGTTTGAATCGACTCAAAACCACTTATATGCTTCTCATAACTCTGCCAGTCCATCATCATCATCAAATTACTGTGCCGGCTGTTCGTCCCGTTGTTTGGATTCAACCGCCATGTGCTAAAAATGAATGCGATCACAATCGATGATGACCGATCGGCCGATCACCGATGATGTTAAAAATGCTTCCAATCTACAATCACCTTGAACTCAGGCAGGGGACTAGACATAAACGTGGCTTGTTGCTGCTTTACATAGAAATTCATTGGGATCTACCTACTTGGTTTGGCATCATTAGTGTGGGGGCGTTGGGTGGTGGCCTCATTAGTCATCACTCTGTTTTCGTAAGTGTTTGTATAAAGGTTGAATTATCTATCGTACTCAAATCATTCGATTGTGCAGTGAACAGATGGATGAGCCCTCTCTGGTTTTGATCTATGGCCTCGTTTAGTTCCGCCGAATTGGCGCCGGCAGGAACACTGTAGCGGCATTGTAGCTACAGTGTCGTTTTGTTTTTATTTGATAATAATTGTCCAATTGTTGACTAATTAGGCTCAAAACGTTCGTCTCGCAAAGTACAACTAAACTGTATATTGTTACGATTGGTCCTGATTACCTCAAGACTGGTAGCTAACTAGTATTAGAAACTGCACATTTGAGCATCTGATTCACATGGAACTCCGGAGATTAGGTGTTGGTGCTGCCTGATGACAGTATAATGCCATTCCCTTTTATTTGAAAAAAAAAAGCACGTTTTAGGATGATTTCACATGGAGTTCTGGAGATTAGTTGTTAGCGCTGGATGATAGTACTCCGTATAATAATATTCTGTTTAATTTGATTTGAAGGCTCCTGACATTCTTTCACGATGGGTAGTATAGGATCGAGACCATTAAAACTACCAACCCCGATTGATATTTCTGATCTTCTTCTGTCTGTTAATGTCTTGGTGCGCCTGGATATATAGGTATAGATAAGGTATATCACACACTCTCTGCTGTATATCTGAACTCTTCCCCAGCTGTTGGGTATTACTAAACAGATTTGGGATTCTTATCTGTAATCTGCTGCAGCAATTATCATCTTATTGGTTGTCTGTGATTATTAGGCAAATAATAAGTCTTGTGCGATCCATCAATATCAGCACCAGCACCAATGTACACAACGAATAACAGGGGCCTTGATTTAGATGATGGTTGGGAATCAGTATTTGACACTGTAGCACTTTCGTTTGTATTTAATAATTATTGTCCAATCATGGTCTAACTAGGCTCAAAAGATCCGTCTCGTAATTTACAATCAAACTGTGTAATTAGTTATTTTTTTTATCTATATATAATACTCCATGCATGTGTTTAAAGATTTAATGTGATAGAGAGAGAAGTAAAAAAACTTGGAATATAAACAAGACCAGGTAAGGTCACGCTGGTGCAATACTGAAGTCCCTGTAACCGTTTCTGAGTACAAGCACAACAGCACTTGATCTGGCAGAGGTTAAAGGAGGGTCGGTACACAAGTACTAGCAGCACTGGCTTGCACTGGGGACGTGTTAATTGCTTATGCTCGTGCATCAGGGTACTGGAGTACCTTTTGTTTCACGTTAGTTCGGCTTTTTTTTTAGCTAGAAAAGTATTTTTCTTTCTTAATAATTCAACTGGAATAGTATTTTTAGTCAGTTTCAGTCAAGTTTTAGACCCACGACCGAGTCCTAAAATTCAGATTCAGAGGCAGGCAGGCCGGCTGTCAGTCGTCAGCACCGTTGAGCGGCGATGGAGACGCTGCTGCACTACACCGCACACTGCCCTGTACAGATTGTGTTGTGCCTGGGCCTTGAATGAGAAAGTAAATGAACCGCGGTGTTGGTGTGCTCCTTGCTATGAGCTGAGCTGCTCACATTCCGTTGATGCGGATTTCTTCCCTGTTTTTTTTTCACGATTGTTTTATTTATTGCTCGTATTTCATCAAGATGAAAATGGTTGTACTGCAGGTTGGCTACTAGTACTCATGAACAGTGCTGAACAATACAATGTGGAACAGCCCTACACTGTCTTCTCCTGTGGGCAAGACAAACAGAAACTGTATGAAAGGAAAAGCAGCAGGTGGCAATGCAAGCACCGGGAAAACATGGCATGCCGTGCGTGTTGCCTGGGGGGCAGCCAAGCACACACGCCTTGCTCTTCCTGCTGACCCAAACAAGCCAAGCATGGCAGCTGTTGGTTGATGCGATTTGCCATGCCGCGCCATCGCCAGTTCACCACTGCCGGCAACAAACAAGGCTCGGCCATTGTGCCCCCTCGGCGCATCGCAGTCAGAAGCCTCGCACGTGCTCGGTCCCTCGTACGATACACATCACATCTCGTTCGGCTGGACGCCATGGCTAATGGCTGCTGCCTATCATCTCATATGAAGCTGGCCGCGTTTAGTTCCAAACTTAAATTCCTAAAAAGTGTTACATTAGCCATCGTATCGAATCTTGTGATATATGCCTAGAGTATTAAATGTAGACGAGAAAAAACTAATTGCACAATTTGGTTGAAAATCACGAGACGAACGTTTTGAGCCTAATTGGTTCATGATTGAACACTAATTACTAAATAAAAACGAAAGTGCTACAGTAGCTCAAATTCTAAAATTCGGCCAACTAAACACGGGCTGAAATATATAAAGAGGAGGCGAGTTTAAAGATGTTTCAGATTTATAGATCCGCCACCGCTTACAACAATTCATTTCTTCTCGAAAAAAAACCCTCTTCGTTTCTCATATGTTTATAGTATAATATAGATGAGAACCAACTTCTTCAAATGCATATGAAAAGAAAAACACACAAAAAAGGATACTTTCACTAAGCACATGAGCTGCACGGCGGTGATGCGAGACAAGAGTCGTCTTTGTCGATTCACACACACACCTTCAAAGGCTCTCACGCATTGGAGCGTGGGGGCATTTTTTTTTGTCCAATGCTAATAGTATACCAACACTAAATAGCGTCCTGTTCGTTTGGATTTGTTTAGTTGATAAGTCATGGCTAAAAGTACCGTTGGCTGATTTGATGTGAGAAAAAAATATTATTTACTGACTAAAAAAATACGGCTTATAAACCAAACAAGCCCAAGCGAACATGACGTAGATATCTGCATTGGATCTCGAGCTTAATTTGACCAATCTCACTCCCTCTACTCTCTCGAGCTTTGACATGGCTACGTCTAGATCCTTTGAAATGTACGGTACGAGTTTAATTTCACAGGAATTACAGACAATTTGATAGAAATTAGTTTATTTCACAGAAAAACAAACAGGAAACAGAGAAAGATCCTGCATATATTGTTCCAAATTGAGTGCCATTGGACTAGAAATATTGTGCACTACTTACTGTAAAGGGAAAAAGAAAACAAAGCTAGGCCTTGTTCATTTTGCAAATTTTTTGAACCCGATGAATAGTACCACTTTCGTCTTATTTGGTAAATATTATCCAATCGTGGATTAACTAGGCTTAAAAGATTCATCTCGTGATTTCCAACTAAACTGTGTAATTAGTTATTTTTTTACCTACATTTAATACTCCATACAAACGGCTAAAAATTAATGTGATAAAGAGAGTAAAAAAACTTGAAATTTGGATGGCATCTAAACAAGGCCCAGTCTCACGCCGACCATATATACTCATGATCGATGGGTCCAAATTCAACAGATGCATGTAACCCACTCGGGTAACAGAAACAAAAATAGATAATTAAATAATACCTAATTTCACTGTCCCATCAGCGCGTCCTGCGGGGGAGACGCCGACCGATACTGCTCACTGAGTCACTGCTCACTATGCTGCGCCCCTTTTCTCCCTCCTGCCAGTAGCCAGCCAGCTTGTCCAAACTCAACAAAAAAAAAATTCAAATTTCTCCAACCTGATAGGATTTATAGGATTATCTAGGCGTAGTTCAGTGGCTAAAACTTAACTTAGACAATACCTTGTTAAATACCTCATCGAGAGGCAGTCGCGGCTATGGCGCCACCGATGAGGTAGCAGCGACGTGGAGGCGTGGTCCAGTGGCGGTGGCGAAGGCGATGACGCTTCCCGTTGCTTACAACGCGTCCTTCTAGATCGGACTAGGGCTAGGAACCTCGGTGGGGCGCTGGCGGCTACGGTGAACCTCGTGTCTTGTGCCCTAGCCCCCACCGTCCTTTTATGGTGCTACGCAACGGGGGCCCATCAGCCAGGAGAACCGGCTGGACGTCCTCGATCAGGGCGAATCAAGGGCCTAATTGGCCGTTGGGCCAACTGGTGAAGATCATCCTAACATTCTCCCCCTTTATCTCACCTTATGACTTAAACTCAACTTACTTTATATTTTTTTATTCCATCACAGATCAGTGCATAGAGCGTGCCTCATCGTCACGGTCAGTTGCCACTAGATTAAACAGCTATAATGCACCTCTCTGTTTTAAAACAGATTCTCAACTAGGCCCTTAGTATCCAAAAATCATAGGCTTTACTGTAAACCCATGTTGACTATGTGTTCTCTAAACGCGCTGGGTGGTTAGCCTTTGGTAAGCGGATCCGCAAGTACTTGCTTAGTACTCATATGCTCAATGCTTTCAAAATAATTCTGGATTTTCTCCTTTATAACGTATAACTCAATGTCAATGTGTTTGACAGCACACTTGACCTGTTGTCTTAGGAGTTAACTACTTTAAATAGTTATTGCTGTTGACTACCATTGTTAAACATGGGTACTAATTCCCTTAACCTCCTTTTGTCTGTTCCTTAAGCCTCATGTCAAGCTATACTATGGTATGCATCACTGATGGCACTACAACTGTTTCTTTA